AATTTTGGGAATTTAAGGTTTGATAATTCACTTTTCATTTATGATATTTCAGAACCCTCTTTGTAACCAGTTTCAATTCAACCAATATCAAACAGGACAGTAAAACCCAGGTCTTGCATATCTATTATGCTTCTGTGCTAATCATTAGTGGTTTGTATATAGACTGTAATACTCAGAAACCATGAGGAAGTATTAATACTTGAAATAAAATTAAACGCCTAAATCACATTTAAGACTAATTGAATATCACACTGAACAGAAAAAGTATCAGCGCATGACAGTAACACAATAAATATACCAGCAACATACCTATTACTAGGAACCAAAAAAAGAAAAATTATAAAGCGATAAAGAGACGAAAGTAATACAAAAAAAAAATGAAATTAACAAAAAATGACATAGGTACCTAATACAAACAAATAAAGATTTAATATTGATAAATGGGTATTAAGAAAAAAACATGGGTATTAAGAATGCGGCATTACATTTTCCGAACAAGAAATAATTAAATCTTAATCCATTTAAAAGCTTTTGTGAGTGACACAGACAAATATTGTTGAGTTGGTGATAGGATTAAGTAGTTCTCATTTACCATTGTGTGAAGATTATGGTCATATTTTACATAAATCAAAAAACACTTTCCAGGCAGGCATCAAAAACTAATTAAACAAATCAGCTGGCCACTGAGGGTGTATCATGACATGATAGTAGGAAAGAATAGGAATTAATTTCTGTCAGATTCAGTTCAGTATGGCTGGAATCTGTAGCATACCACTGAATCACCAATGAGCTGGAAATTGGACAAACCAGTACCCACTGTTCCAAGCATTTTTCCTAAAAATGGCCGTTATATCAAAATATTCGCTAAATTTTTTTTTATAAATTTATTGGCAAAAAAGGAATTTACTCTTATATTGATCTCTGGTATATAAACAATAGCATATTGTAATACCAGAAGAACTGAAATCAAGTTTTGCATGACTTAACATTAAATCTCACTATTTGGCTGCAAATTGATTCATTCGAGCCATTCAAAATAGCTCGCAAAAAACAGGAATCACTAGCAGCTATCATTAGATTCGAACATGTACATCTTGTCTAGATGCATTTTTATCTGAGCTTTAACTATCCAAATAAGGTGAATTCTCAGTGTCTTAACAGGGAGAGATAGATTTTACAATAAGATAAAAGAAAATTGAAAGTTTCTCCCTACTTATAACCATTACAGAGTTATAGGATTTTCTGCATTCCTTCATGTTTTGTCTAAAGTCTACTGCATAAATAGGATGGAATGTAGGCATATTGGTTCAAATGAGTTGAATTCTAAATATTTTGTAGAATATTAGAATAACTTTTAATAAACTTCAGATATTTGAAAAATGTGTCAAGTAAAAATTAGCGTCAAAAGTCGGAAGTATGGTAAATGCTGCCTTGCTATCATTTCAACTATATTACCTGAAGACAACTTTTCTTTTACTGTGCTCGTAATATAGGGTGACCCCAAAAAAACAAAACCATAAATTTCTTCATTCATTCTACGGAAATGAATAAGAACACTTGAACGTCTGTCTGTATTTAGTTTGGTCTATAAATTAATAAAATTATCTACCACGGTATAATCATATTTCAATATTTTCTTATATTTATAAAATGACAAAAATAAATCATAGCAGTGCAGTTTTGAAAAAATAATCCTCCCATTTTGAAATATTCATTTCAAATTTAGTCTACTCTAGTCAAATTCTGACTGCTTCGTCAAGAATAATTAAAGCTTGATAGATCAGAATAATTGTATCTTGGCACTTTCATATGAATTCTCTTAAAAATTTGTTAAAACTGCAACAATTTCAAATTCAGGCTTTCAGATTCTGCAAACCTCGCTATTACCAACTAGATTGACTGATAATAAATGATAACTAAACAAGAGAGGACAAAAGAAACATGAAAATTCCGAACACTTGGGATTGAGAAAGTTAAATAAATGGAGAAATCATAATTAATGACAAAAGGTTTTGATTACGGTTCTATTTTTTCCTAAATAATTATTTCATAAGGTGGGTACTATCTTCCCTCTGAACAAAGCTATAAATACACTACGATTTTTGAAAGGAATCAGTAGCGTTCGGGTTGGACTTGGAAGTCAAGGTAATATAATCTATGACACAATTTAAGCACTAGGAACTGCACCCATGAAATATAAAGTATTTTACATTGACCATGTAAGAAAAGTTTAATGAAAGGTTTACCGTAGTTTGAATGAAATAAAAAATATAGCTTTCAAGAAAAGGATTAATTTACTGGGTAATTAAAAATAAATGACCGAGTGAAATCAAATGTATGAAATTCCATGTCAAATGAAAATATTCACAATAATCAAATCATAAATATTAGAAGACAATCTATTTAAAAAGGACATCCCTGGTTCACATGTCTTATGCAGTAATTCATCATAAGTCCGAATTCAGTTATTCGAAAAAAATAAAATAGGCTACGATATATGTACGTCAGCCATTGGTGTCGATACAAACTGCCGTTCCCTACTCGCTTAAACAGTATCCCTTGGTATTGAAGTACACAATTCCTGAGATATTTTCCAATGATTTTGGATAGGTAAAAAAAATGATTGGGATTGAGTTAGCTGGAATATAGATCAGGTTAGTTAAAATAAAATTACTGATATACCTATTAAAGCAGGCATATGCAAATCGGAGACACCCATTTGAATGACCATACATACAAACTTTGATGTAATACTAGAGTTTTGTCTACAATGCATTAATAACACACATTCAGTTCTGGTTGGGATAATTATGTTAGAAAATTCATAAATCATATAGGCAACTCAGGATGTATTTTTGTCACCTTGAGGCAATATTTTTGATATGATGACCTCAATTTTGTGGGAAGTCATGAAGTAATTATGAATTTAACTGCTGCTTTCTTGAATATCAGCATAATGCTGCTTAAAATAAAAATGTTTTCCAACAGAAAATTGTAATATATATTCTAACTAAATCATGTTTATTAATAAAAAGTCAAGAAACGAAATCAAAAATGAACTACAGTGAAAGAACTGAACATATCCAATTTACTTCATATTAATATAGTCATCATAAATGGTATAAGATGAATGCCTTTCCTTATAGCCATTAGGGAGAGGTGAAGGTCCAGTTTGATAAACACTATTATATGCATTTCCATCTAGTTATAATTTACATTTTCTGTCTTGAATTATAATTATTGACGTAGCTCAGAAATACTGAAATATGGTAGAACATGGTCAGATAGTGGTAATGACAATTTTGGAAAATTATTCATTCTTTTCAGCTTTGGCCTACATTCATTCTTGTAGAAGATGCTAAACACACGAAAAGGACTAAATTTGATGCTACATCACTTGTACAAATGCATTATAGTAGTGAACACCTGAAAATACTAATCTTAGATTTTTGAACCAGTTTTATTTCGACATTTCAATCATAAATAGAAAAATCCATAACCATATCAATCATTTTATTTCGGTATTCTGACATAAAACACAACACAAAAAATAAACAAACAAACAAAAGCAGAGCTATCTGGGAGGCAAGCATACAGTACTTAAAATGAAGTTCGCGTCCACCCCCACCCACCAAAAAAAAAAAATAATAATACAAGCATACAAAAAAAAGTGAACACGATTCAGAACGAGGCAAAACTTACGAGGCAATTTAAAATGAGAAACACACATAATTGCTGATGGGTTCTGCGGACAGTTTTGCAAGAAATAAAACAGCAAAATTGAGGTAGATAAATTAAATGTAATAGAGTTCCTCTGTCTCTGTTATTGAAAATTTACAGATCCTGAGCCCGGTTTTGAATGCTGTACCAAGTTCTGTATCAAGCCTTTTCAATAGATTCAAGAATTACTATCATTTCAGCCTCTATTTACTTCATATTATAAGTAACTTCTACCATAATTACTGACGTACAGGACGTTACAACAACAGTACCGGTACTAAAATAAAGCTGAGGCGTTACTGTCTGTTTTTGGGTGGCAACTGATTCTGATGACCCCCAAAGGTCGTATCGTTGCCTCCCAGTCATGTAGGATAGGATTTACATATTTATCCTGGGGGAGAGGAAAGTCGATAAGACTGCTTACTCATATGGCAAACGGATTCCGGTTACCAGTCCAGGTCGGGTATGGGATTAGTTAGCCAGGTATTTGTTTTCGGAAGCATGGACTTGATGGTGGAGGAAGCCGTAACCGACCAGCAGTTATGTGAACCACCTCACGGCGGCGAGGAGTCCAGCAATCCTCTCGCACATGATTATCCCCGCATGGGATTCGAACCTGCGATCCCACGAAGGGTAATCAGAGATGCGGTGGCGAGCGTAGGCTATTCCTAACGTTTAGCACGCAACACTTGTACTGTTGTAGGCTACCGAAAACATCTGTCTATTTCATATTGATATATGTATGTACCGGTAGGCAACTAGCGTCCCATATCTGCATAGTCTAGTTAGCGACTCATTTTGACATTGTTACAGAGAAATAGAGAGAGAGTTTATTTTGTTTTGTCAAACCAAGAAAACAATATACCTAGAGGTACCGTACGGTATCCTCGCATTTGGTCCATGCAGACTGGAAGTTGATTGATACCGTATAAGATGGAAATTAATCAGCAGAAATCCTTGATTTCTAACTGATAGGCCTGAGTCTGTAAGTCGTGGCTCACTATTAATGTCTCATAATTCGCAACATACCGTAATATCCAATCCACTTTTCGCACCTATCCAGCATCCCACAACATAGGTATCGGGCAAATGTGACAAAACCTGTAATGGCTCAATAGCGCCAAATTGGAAGATTGGATTTTTACCTATATAGTGACCTATTACGGTAGCCATTATTATTTTGATGACCACAATTTTTGAGACACACGAATATTATCGACCCACATCACCCCCACGGATGCATTTATCCTGAGAAAAAAGTACACGCGGTGGGCTGTACAAATCGTACGGTAACGAGCAACAAGCGATAAGGTGACTCAGATGGAATGCGTTATGTCTCAGAGAAAGACTGTCAGCTTTGTGACTGGAAACAAAAAGAAGCTGGAGGAGGTTGTTGCGATTTTGAAGGGAAATAAGAGTGTCGAGTTTGTTCACACACCATTGGATCGTAAGTAGGCCTATCATATTTAAAGATACCAAGTACATTTGTTATTGTGTATTGTATTCCTGACAGAGAAATCAATACTCTCTTCCAATTTTAGTTTACTCCATTCTATGTTTTGATTACGGTGGATTCGTAAAATTCTGTTTGTGGAAAATATAATCTATATCAGTTAAGGACTTTGCAGATCGTTCAGAAAAAGGTTCATAACTTGATATCCCACCAATTTCTGTGAATTTTATTTTCCTGAAATCAATGCGCCTTGATCACATACCAGCATATGGTGCTGACATATGGCAATATTTGTCCTAATGTACTAGAAATTGGAGATTTTTTAGGTTAGGTTGTCTAGATATACCGTATTATGTTGTAATGTATTTTCAATTTTCTGTTAAATTGGACATCCCTTTATATGTGTGTCATCACTTGAACCAATTTTTAGTGCCCGAGTATCAAGGGACTGCAGAAGATGTTTCCCGAGAAAAATGTAAAGAAGCAGCCAGAAGATTGAAGACTCCTGTAATTGTGGAAGATACATGTTTATGCTTTAATGCAATGAATGGGCTTCCTGGACCCTATGTGTATGGGAATCTTAGATGTTAGTTTTTCAAAAATCACAAAGCTAGAAATTGTCTCTGTGGAGAAATCTTGCACTGTGATGAAATTATTATATATAAAGAAAATAATGAGCCTATTGGCCCTAATTGGAAGTAGAAAATGTTATCAGAAGTCCCAAATATGTCACCAGATTGTAACTCTACTGCTTTAATGCGATTGGTTCCGGTAGTGTGCATATCTGGATGTACAAATTTGCTAATGAAAATCTCAGTGTCTGAGATGTGTTTCAGATGATAGTTATGTGTTTTAGAACCTCTGTTATTCCTATATTGAACATTCCCAATTAATAATGAAATGTCAGTCTTGTTGTCATGTAATATTTATCAGAATCTGGTTGCAGGAAATGGTTCTTGAAAGAGTTGGGACCAGAAGGAATACACAAGATGCTGGATGGTTGGGAGGACAAATCAGCCTATGCCCTATGTACTTTTGCGTACAATGCAACTGGAAATGCTAACGACCCTGTCCTACTGTTTACTGGAAAATGTGAGGTGGGTATAGTAGATTCATGCCAAAAAGCCTGTATAATTACCACATCTGTCAATAGTTTCTTTTTGTACAATAGGGGAAGGGGACACCTAAATGTATAGCTCTGTCGGGTTGGAAAGACAAGAATTCCTATTGTTTGGCCGACCACCTTCGATCCAGCAGCTTCTAACATATGGAAACTAAATTATGTAAAAAAAAATTCTTCAATAATAAGCTTTCAAGTAGTATCGCCCAGTGTCTATGAATTAATTAAGAATGAGAAGTCGAATTTACTGTCATTACTTTTCACTGGTCTTTCATTTTAGTCAGTTTACACAACTTTTAATTGCTTACTAGGGGAGGATCGTATCACCTAGAGGCCCAAGGGACTTTGGATGGGACCCAACATTTCAACCAGATGGTTATAATGAAACGTAAGTACATTGTTGTTATTTTATGACTGGGACTCATTCAAATTAAAACCTGCCCCATCCAATTCAGATATGCTGAAATGGCAAAAGATGAAAAGAACAAGATTTCCCATAGATCAAGAGCCCTCTGCAAGATGGCAGAATACTTCGAAAAAACAGATGACGGCTGATGAGTGAACCACAAAGCTGAAAGAAAATGGTCCGGTTCAGACTTGGGGGATGCAAGTAGTTTGGCACCTCCTCAGCAAGGCAATTCAATATGTATGCCCCATACACCTTATTCATTTGATGTGTCTTGTTAAATAAACTTTCCTGAGTCAGTACTGATATTGTGGTTAATTTAGTTACGAAAAAGGGACAAAATCAATGTGTATTAAACGCTATTGTCAAGACAAGAGCACCAACTGAATAAATGTAGGAATGCATAAAACCCCGGCAGTGGTGGCAATTTAGTGTGAAGTAATATAGAAAGACACAGGTTTGGGTATAAAATGAGGATGATTTCAAAGGGTTTAATGATAATTCACTGCCATAAAAAGGTTGAGAACAACTGGAATGAGAATTAAGATTATCGAATAAGCTATAAAAAAACAACAGGGTCTGGTCTGTTGGAAAGCATAGATAGGCAAGGTTCTCTTTATACAAGACAGTAGGCAATCGAAAGCACACGATTTTGTTACTCTGTCACTGTTTAATATGACTATGGTTTCCATGCATCTTCAAACTGATCATCTCCATGCAGTAAATTTTAATTTTGCTCTTGTTATGCTGCGCTGACCCTAAACTTTGTGGTTCAGAAACACATAGTAAAATGTGCTATCCAGCAGCGATTCAGTCTGTTCCTGTCGTTCTCTTATACCAGAACCGAGCTCTGTGATCCTCACTGCATGTGATAAATCCAGGCGATGTCGGTGAATGGGCAAGACGATGAACAGGACCGTTGTGTCCGAGTGACAATAGGCGTTGTCTTTCACCAGTTCTGGTGTCCCAACAACATAGTGAAATTGTTTTTTCATCAGGAAACAATGCATAGTCTTCAGTATGATTAAACACTGCTTGTGCTTTGTGTAATTGTTTGCCACTAAGTTCTGCTCCTGTATAAGCAATGAGTGAGCGTCCTGTTGCAGTCTCCCAAAGACGGCATACACTGTCTTTACCACTTGTTAGAAGATATTTGCTATTTCGTGAAAACTGTACAGAACAAATTTCTTCACCACTGTGAGCTTTAGGATATGTTGCAATACATCGATTACTGACACCATCCCATAACTTCACATCTCCGTCTTTACTCCCAGAAGCATAAATTCTACCATCATTATTGTAAGCCAACATTGTTAGTGGACCTCTATGTTGATCTGATGGGTTGCAACTCACATAACACTGAAAAGTGTTCAGATCATAAAGTCTCACAACTGGATGTTCTGTGCCAACCAGAAGGCATTCTCCACTGGGGTGCATGGAAACTGAGCGCACAGTTGCAACTTCTTGAATGGTTTTTGAAGCCTTTTTTGTAGAACTCTTTGAAAAGTCAAAGACTTTAACTGTACAGTCGCGGCCACCTGAAACTAATATTTGCTGGGTTGGGTGAAAATCTAATGTGGTCACTTCATCATTGTGATCATACAACGTACGAATAACAGGGTGGTCTAACATACCTGGTTGATCATTTTGCATTTGAGGAGTCCCTTCATGTATACTTTTGGCAACCATTCTCTCAACATCCAATACTTTTATTGACATATCCACCGACCCTGTCGCAATATATTGTCCATCTTTTGAAAAAGTCGCTGCTCGACATGGACCTTTGTGAGCAGTAACGTAACTTGTTTCATATACAATTGCTTCTGGAGACGTTATTTGAACATCTGTCTCAAATTCAAGATCTATTCCATGGCCAGGAGCAACCAGTTCTGCAGTAGATGGAAGTTTAAATTCTTTGTCATGTTCAAGCTGGGTAATTCCAGTCTCAAATACTTTGAGCAGTTTATCAGAAGGTGGACATGCTAGTGTTGGCTTCACTTGAGATGTTAAGCTTTTTGCGACAGCAATATATCCGTCATTCAGCAACTGGCTAATGATAGCCCTATACAAATGATCTCTCATTTTAACATTGTCCGGTTTCATTTTTAACGATTAGGCCGATCTGTTTTTATAAAATACTAGTAAATGCCAAAAAGAAAAGCTTAACTGTTAATACTTTAAAACATGGATGCTGACATCGTTCTAATGATCAGTGTTGACAAAATACTGTAGTTTTATATACCGTCTGACCGTATACTGGTATACAGACTGACAGATCAACATTGAAATTTTAATACCATGTATATACAAAACCAAATGCTGATGACATATCTGCATATTGCTGATATGCGATGGAAAGAGCAATGCATGGGGAACCCTACAAATGTATGAAGCTTCACCAAACCAAACGCTAATTGCCTTCATTTTCATTCATAGCCACAGATAAGCAAAACAAGGATCCACATTGTTCGGATTTGACTTCATAAGCAATAGTCTACTGATAAAGTGATATACATACAACAAATAAAAGGGATAGGATAGGATTTACATATTTATCCCGGGGGAGAGGAAAGCCGATAAGACGGCTTATCCATATGGCGAACCACGGCCTCTCGTCCGGTTACCATTCCAAGTCGGGTATGGGATTAGTTATATTGTTTGTTTTCGGAAGCATGGACTTGGTGGTGGAGGAAGCCGTAACCGACCAGCGGTTACGTGAACCACCCAACGACGGCGAGGAGTCCAGCAATCCTCTCGCACATAACCATCCTTTCAGAGTAATTAGAGGTGCGGTGGCGAGCGTATTCCTAACGCTTAGCCCGTTGAGCCACACCGCCGCGCCTGACTATTGATGTGACGTTATGTACTAATACTGTTAATACAATGTAAACTGGATACTGGATACTACACATTTTTTTGCCAAATTTAAATCAATTTATAGAAAATATGATAGTTTTTGGTTCAATCAAATAATTTATTTCCATTCAGTTGCATGAAGCCCAATTTTCTAGCTAATTTAGGTGATGCCATAATATGTGTGAGTATACAATACAAAATGAAAATGACATATTATAAAATCCAGATACATTTACCCATTCATCTCCATTAACGGTACCGGCACAGTATATCCATTACCGGTACAGTTACACACCACTGTGCAGCTAGCGGCAATTTCAGCCAGAATATTTTTACACATTGAATATATAGTTTCCACGCGCATATAGTATTCACTTATAGATACATATAAAAAAAAAATTAAAATGGCTGAAAAAAAGATAATTTTACCACGGAAAGACATGACAAAGCAATAAACTAAAGAACTACAATGAATTTGACAATAACATAGTGTCTAAAAAAGAGAAATTGGGTAAAAAATGCATTTCCAGGTATTTCGCAAAATACGGAGTTTCTAAGATTAGTACAAGTACTAAACAATATTTATCAAAATCCTCCAATAGAGGCAGAATTACGATGAATGGGGGGATGTAGAATTTTATTATAGATGGGATATTATTACAACAGAACGATAGCAGCACGTTATATGTGATACCAAACATAACGCATATTTTTCAATTTTATAAACAATCTAGAGTCTGGTCTCAACCTATTCCAAAAGGGTTTTGTATTTTAACCAAATTTATCTAATTATTGAACGAATAACTTTCTTACTTTTTCACACATCAATACTGTACGTTTATTAAATTTGGAATAAGTTGCGGAAAGTCTAAATTACAAAAAATAAATTTACGCCATCTATTCAAAATTTTAAAAAATCATCGACTTTGGAGTGGGGATTTCTCGAAAACCGCCAATAAAGGGAGCACTACGACACATTCGATTTCATTATAGCAGAACAGTAGCTCCAAGTTTTGACTTAGGCATATATAATACTAAATATAGCGGATATTTCTCAATTTTATGAACAATGTATTCAATACAATGTATCTAACAATGTATGTAATTCGCAACATAATCCAAGTATAATGAACATACAGTATTGATGTATGACAACGTGAAAAAGAAATTTGCTCAAATATTCGATAAATTTAGTTTAATACGAAACCCCTGTGAAATATGTTTACATCTACATTGTTTATAAAATTGAGAATACACGCTATGTTTGGTATTGTATATGGCCAAGTTAAAACGTGCTGCTACTGTTCTGGAATAGTGAAATCGAATCTATAAGGTATCTGATTTTCTTCGAATGTGTCGTGTCGTATTGGCGGTTTTCGAAAAATCGCGACTACAAAAACGAAAATTTTTATTGTTGGTCAATCGAATAGCACGTTTTTTCCCTGTCTTTTATATCTAGTTATTGATATGCTATTGTTGATCAATTAAATAGTCCTTTTTATATATCTTTGTTTTTTAATAAGTAATATTGCTATTTTTGGTCAATTAAATTATTTCCAAATTGATCTGAACTAGCAGTAGGATAGGTTTGTTTGTAAATACTCTAGCACCAAAGGTAAATAGAAATGTTCACTCATCATTGCTCGGTTTGTTTTGTAAAATTTTCCTATTGATTTGACCCTCTTGTTTAAATCAGAAACGTTTCCCAAATCCATCTGCTAAACCTTATTGATAAGTATACCTATTATAAGTATTATTATTTTTGAAATGCAAGTTTGTAAAAATGCCAAACATTTGCATGAACAAGTCCATGAAATATTTTAAACATTTTCAGATTGTGACTAACCTATAAATAAAATTCCTGGTGTGTTACTTTTTTTCAATACTGTGTATCACTAAGTTACATTCAAACATTTTTCACATTCAGACGAATTATCATCACAATATAATTTTTGTCTTTGATTCACTGTATATATATATGGCCAATTTTTTTCCCAAGTACTTTGAATATTGTGCTAAATATAAGCATCCAAACCCCATTGAATTCGAATTTATTAATTTCCAGTTAAATATAAATTTCCATCTCATTATTCTGACCGCTTTAGATTGTTTTATTTAACGAATACAACACCGGACATCCCTCTTTTTTGTTTCTTTTTTCTTCCTTTAAAACACACTTGCATAACATTGCATTAACCAAAAAATCCCTCAATTTTGTTAAGAAATTTATTGTAAAAATTTTATCGTAATAGTTCAAGTTTTGTCACTAGTCATCTTTCAGTGTTAATCACATCAGCGTATATGGTGGAAGCTGACCTCGATGACCGTATGGCGCATGGTCGTATCGCTTTCTCCTGTCCATACCAAAACAATTTTATTTGCTGTTGCTATTTTATTGATGACTGTATTTTTTGGTTGACGAAATAATAAAACCTCTTTCTCTCTCTTGGCGTACAGTATAAATGTGTGAAAAGAAAAAATATATTTGATCAAGTATCCTGCAAATTAAGTGAAATACAAACTTTTTTTAAATTTATTATGTCCACAGTGTTCATAAAATTGAAGAATATGCGCTATGTTTGGTATTATATATGGCTAAGTCAAAACGTGCTGCTAATGCTCTGCTATAATGAAATTGAATCTACAGTATAAGGTTCCTGATTTGTCCCATTATGTGGTAATGCTGCCTTTATCGGAGGTTTTCGAGAAATGAACGTCACGAAGAAAATTCGGTCATTTTTAAACAACTCCTAAAAAAGTATGTAATTTTGTAATGCACTGTTACAGTCGATTTAGCTTGTTTACAAAATATTAACAAGATGAGAAGTGTAGTTATTGATTGATTTGCTTTATTTGGTATTGTAAAACTAATAAAAATATACACTTTCTTTCTAAAATGATTGGAAACATTTGTTTTTATGCGTGGGTATTTTCTGCGATTCTGTCAGCGCCAAATTTTTGTTTTGCTTATTGCTTCATAGAAGTGGTTCACCCCGGAGTGATGGTTTTATAAATTGGAAGTGTTCAGAAACATAAGAGCCAAGAGAAGAAGTTATTCGCAAAGTAGGCATAACTGCATAATAAACAGCAACGGAAACTTGTGAGATCATGCTGCAGTAAGCCAGAGAATAGCTACTGGTATATGAAGCAAGTAAATATAATTCTACCTTTCGTGCTCTCCAGTATCAGTGTCAATAAATTACCGGAACGGTGTAAAATATCTACCCAAACCTACCGGAACGGACCTGTAAATATCTTGTAAAGGTCATTTGATATACCCCTAGGCCATTTCCAGGTAAAACAGCGAACTTAGGGGGGACAGTAGAAAAAATAAGTTCCATGAAGCTAGTACTAGTAGCACGGTGGCCTTTTCAATTCGTTTACTACTCCAGACCGCTGCAGTCCATATAAAACAACACAAACAAATAAACATTCGCAAAAACAAAAATAACACAATAAATACCTGATACGACAATCAGATTGCAGAATTATAGGCGGGACCAAATTCGCCAAACTAAACCAACATGCAAATGAAAATAAAAACACAAAAATAAAGATATTCGGCCTGTATCTCACTAGTTGACTTGTTGGGAACAAAATTTCGCATGTATGTGTAATCCGTTACTGAAAATGCCCTATTTCGTTAAAATCGACAGAGGCGAAAAACCTGAAATTTCACAACTTTCAAACTACAATAGCATATTTAATCGATTAAGAGGGGCGAGATTATATTATTGAAAAATTTAATACTATATATATATGTGGTACATCGTAACTCGTAAAACCAAGTTCCCGTAAACGCGATTTCGTACCTAGTTATTTGGTAATAACATATAAAGACGAATTTATTTTCACCACACCAACCGACCCATTGCTCCACCTTGCACAACTGTCTATATAAGGAAGCATATTATACATATTTAATCTAATGTTTTTTGTTTCATATTTGTCAAAAGGGGCGAATGCCGCACATTTGTGTTTTAGGCCAGTACGGTCTTGTGCATGCATCCCGTCTTAAATAATAAAAATTGTTCATTTATTTATGTATCACTATTACGAGACGAATCAACATACATACATACTCTATGATTATCGTTACGTATCATTCATTATCTACCCAAAATTGGCCCTACTCAAACTTAATACGTTACTATCGCAAGTTTGATTAAACGAGAGAGATTTACACGCGAGAAAAAATGCTCGTCTTCAATTGATAAATTAGAAGAAACCCGAAATACAAAAATTGACGCTTGGTGCCGGAGAGGCGGAAACCGAATCCTGTTATCGGATCCCGT